TGGGTTTTTGTTTAGAAACACCGACAATGTCCGATTTCTCTTAAACGGGAAAGCAAATTTCTCGTACTTTAAGAAAAGATTGGAGGCCAAACTTGAACGAGGCCCGGTATCCCAGATATTTTATCAGAGTCCAGTCTTTTTTGGAAACAACCGTTATTTTTTATAAGGTTGCAATTCAAGATGACGAGGATTTCCAGAACATGATTTCCAGCCATGTCTATTCTGGAAACGACTCTATTGAGTTGTACGTTCTGTTTCAAGAGCCTCCGGTGACACAGGAGGTAGAGCCTCCGGTGACACAGGAGGTTGATCCTTTGGAGAATGAGCAAGATGAGGTGGATGCAGTTGATGATGAAGAAGAAGATAACGAGTTAGAGTTTGATGAAATGGTGAACGACGATTCTGACGATGATGGCATCCCAAGTATTCCTACCGACAAAATCTACACACCACCTACGCACATGACAAACTTCAACATGGGCGGAGATGAACCTTCTACGGACTTGTTTTTCCAACCGTATATGCAATCGGATGAAAATTTAAAAGAGATGGACAAGTTTCGTAATAGAGAGGAATGCATAAGGGCCATCAAAAAATTTCACATGCTCAACTCAGTTGATTATAAGGTGGATCGTGTAAACCCGGAAAGGTACAAGATCAAGTGTGTCCACCCTGACTGTATGTTCAAGCTGACCGCTTCATACAGACTAAGGGGTGACTGCTGGGTCATAGGTTCCATGACTACCCATACTTGTGTAAGTTCCACTCAATCACAAGACCACCGAAAACTCAACCATGATCTAATCTGTCAAGAAATCCTACCCCTGGTCAGCAACGACCCTTCTTTGAAGGTTAAAACAATCATCTCCCACATCACCACGGTTTTTAACTACACTCCATCTTACCGTAAGGCGTGGTTAGCAAAGACTAAGGCGATTGAAAGGGTGTACGGGAACTGGGAGGAGTCATACCGAGAACTTCCACGCTACCTAAATGCACTCAAGACATATTCTCCAGGTAGTGTTTATGTTCTGGAAACATTGCCAGCGTACGCCCAAGATGGTAGTCTACTACATGGCAACGGAATATTCAGTCGCGTCTTTTGGGCATTTCAACCATGCATCACAGGGTTTGCTTTATGCAAACCAATTCTACAAATAGACGGGACTTGGTTGTATGGGAAGTACAAAGGCACGCTTTTGATGGCAGTTGCACAAGATGGCAACAATAACATTTTCCCCGTTGCGTTTGCCCTTGTCGAGGGGGAGAACGGTGGTGCTTGGAGCTTTTTCCTGAAAAATCTTCGTACACACGTGGCTCCTCAACCAGATCTCTGTTTGATCTCGGACAGACATGCCTCCATTGAAAGTGCCTATAATAATCCGGCAAATGGTTGGCATGACCCTCCTTCTACGCATGTCTATTGCGTCAGGCATATCGTCCAGAATTTCTCGAGGGAGGTCAAGGACAAAACATTGAGGAAAGCGGTGATGAATGCGGGATACGCACTGACACAGCCCACATTCAAATATTACCGCAACGAGATCCGTTTGTCTAACCCAGAAGCCGATATGTGGATCGACAATATACCGGTCGAAAAGTGGACTAGGTCATACGACAATGGCCAAAGATGGGGGCATATGACAACAAATCTTATTGAATCAATGAATGGGGTATTCAAGGGCATACGAAACCTCCCCATCACTGCCTTGGTGAAATCCACGTATTTTAGGATGGCTGCGTTATTTGCCAAAAGAGGTGAAATGTGGTATGCGGTCTTGCAATCAGGACAACTATGGAGTGAAAGCTGTATGAAATACATTAAGGCTGAAAGTGCTAAAGCCAACACTCACATGGTTACACGGTTTGACCGCCATAGCCACAACTTCATTGTGAAAGAGACAATTGACCACAATGAAGGCCTGGCAAGACAAGAATACAGGGTCATTTTACCTTCTCAATGGTGCGATTGTGGCAGGTTTCAAGCTTTTCGTATGCCTTGCTCTCATGTCATTGCCGCTTGTGCGCATACCCATCAAGACGCGCTTCAACTGCTCTCAAACGTTTATAAATCTGAAACGTTGCTCACTGTTTACAACAACAACTTTCCTTTGGTGACAAAATCGGACTATTGGCCTGAATACAACGGTGATATAGTTTGGCACAATGACCAAATGCGAAGGAACAAGAAGGGTCGTCCCAAAAGCAGGCGCATAACAACAGAAATGGACGATCTTGACAGGTTGGAAAGAAAGTGTGGTTTATGCCGTCAGGTCGGACACAATCGCAAAAACTGTCTGAATCGGGCGTCTGGCTCGACCACATAAATTTTGTAATACATTAAATCTTTTCAATATTTGTGTTGTAAACATTATGGGTTTTCCGTTAATAAAACTGTTCACACAATTTAAGAAATTCAATATAGGAAATTACATTAGGGTTTTCGCGTACAACAATGATTAACGATATTCAATCTAGGAAATTACAACTGTTAACACAATTTCATCTGACCCATGCATCATCAGCATTACATCACTGTCTGTTTTGACTTCCTCCAACCACACATTAGGTCTTCCTGTCGCATGCGAGGTTGTTGTTCGTTTTCGCTGGATCCTTCGAATTTTTCCCCCTCGGCGATGTCTCCATCTAGCCACCGCATCAACTCCCGCTTCAGACGCTCCATGGAGTGAATGTGCCAGAATTTCATTTTCATCGCAGGTTTCGTGGCGGAGAATATAACGTAACCATCTCTGCTAAAAATCATAGGCGACGTCATTACGTAAATAAGGGAGTACAAAATAAAAATACAGTGTGAGAAAGTGTGAGAAATTTCAAAGAAACGGACGAATTATTTATAAAACAGCAAAAAACCCTAGTTTTTCCCTAGGCGCCAAGTGAGATGGCGCCTCCTCTTCTTTTTAAGGAGCATGCGCCATCTCACTTGGCTAAATGCCAAGGGAGGCGCCAAGTGAGATGGCGCCTAGGGCAAAACCCTAGGTGCATGCGCCAAATGAGATGGCTCCTCCTTTGTGGAGCCATCTGAAACATGGTTATTTGCGTAATTTTTTCCGAAACCCGGTTATTTGCGAAATATTTTTTTAATACATGGTTATTAATAAAAAAAATTCTAAACATGTTGCGACGTGATTTTCACGTCACAACTTTGTAACATGAAAATCATGTCGCAATAGATTTGCCACGCGCCCTCCTGCGATGTAATTATTCACGTTGCAAAAAATACATTGTGACGTGATTTTAGATGTTGTGACATGATAGTCACGTTGCAACAGAACTTTTTTGTAGTGTAAGTTATCTGCTTATAGAGATTTATGTGTAAGCCTGGGTCTGGGATAAATTCATTCATCAAATCCGTCTCTCTGGTGATTATAACTATTTGTAACAAATAATATTAGATTGACTATTTGATTAATAAGATTCAATTTTAACGTATCGTATAAATTGAATTTGGTTGATTGAATCATTGATTAGTTATCATCTTCATCTTTCATCTTTTCTATATTGTTTGATTATAGTGTTATTTGTGATATCTATAAATTGAATTTGTTTAACAAAATTATACCGCCACATTATTTTTTTAAAACTCTGATTTTGAAGATAACTTTTGAAATTGATTTTTAAGAGTAAGATCTATTCACCCCCGTCTAGAACATTCTACATCCATATTCTCCCTCCAATAATTATTTCTTTAGACACATGTGATAAGAGAATCCTGAGTCCACTTACCAACTCTTATCCATCTAAAAATTAGTTACACTATAACACCAACACTCTAAGACAACATCAATCTAAACATAATCACCCTTGCTCTCATTATCAAGACAATCCTTTTTGAAATGGGCGTTTTATGACAAATAAAGAAATTATACTTCTAATTTCCATATCCATTGGACTGTTACTTAGACCTATATTTCTTTCCTTTTTGGCTTTCCCCACTATCACTTCTCCATCTTTAAATATTCAAGTCTTCTTCACTATCATCAACCGTCATCTCTTTCATCTTGATTAATATTTGGTTCTAAGAGTCTATTAAATCCCTTCCAAGGCGATAATGTCTTTCCATAAAAAAAGACATGATTAAAATGTTCAAAAGATAATGAGCTCAACAAGATTAGATTCTTGTTTTCATCATCAAATATTACCTCAATGAATAAAGTTACTATTTTGAACATAACGTATGAGCTAATGACTTGGTAATATATATTGATTCAAGCTTGACATATATTTTTGTTGTGTTCTTTGTACTTGCGACTTCTCTCAATACTTTATCTTTGAGACACAAGATAAAGACACTCACAATTTTATCCATCTCATTTTTAGTTCTTCTGTTAGGCTTGCCAACACCAAAGTGGCACCTTTTAAAGCTTATGCACTTTTTTTAAATCAAATTGTTTGTATCTTTCTTTTTCAAATCCTAAAATCGTTGTCTCTAAAAAATTTTTTTGATATTTTATTTGAAATCTATTCTGCTAACTTGTAAACTTAGATAAGGGATCAATATGATGGAACATTTTTATATTGAGGCCTTTTTTTATGATCAACACACTTTCTGAGAAATTCACCATATATTTACCTAAAACCTTAAGATGATAGGTGTGTGAATTCTCTCATTTATAAAGTGTTAAATATCTACTTTTTCTTAATTAATGCGAGACTTTCTACATTTATTTCTCAACAATTCCAACTCACACTTATTTTTCTCAAGACTGTCTTCCTAATATGAGTCTATCCACAATGTTCACACTTTTTTCAACTACACAAAAATATTAATCTAATAAGCATTGAATTAAATTGTTTATCTAAAACATCTTAAATTATATTATTTATGATTCAACACATAATATGTGTTGTGATCTTACAAAGCATACACCCTGTTATAGTTATGCCACATCTCATTTAAACATATTATTCATATGCATGGTGTGGTGACTCCAAGCTAGGAGAAAACCTTGGCATCACATATCTCACACACATACACTCAATCACCATATGAAATCCTTTCTCCAATTCACTTCATCATTACTAAAATAAAACCCATCTTGTGTAACCCTCCAAGAACACAACCTATGTAATCCACAACGTTGTGTGTCTCTAGAAGACTTAAAAGCATCAAAACTCTTCCTTGTGCTATCCCATTTCATTGTACACTTCACATAGTTGCTGCTCCAAAAATTGGGCCTCATAATCCAGCTAAATTCATCATGTTCTTGCAAAGCTCGACCACCAAGATCCATTTCCTCAGATGAACACCAAATGACTAAAGGAACTGAAGAATTATCAGTGAATCCATTAATCACACGAATATGGTATTCATCTCTTCCAAACATATGATGTGCTCTTTGTACTATAGTCATTACAATGAGAATGGAAGAGGCAAAACATAGTATAAAGTAAACACTCACCACAAATTTCATTCTTTTTGTTGAGTTTTATGAATGATATCACATGCATATATGTCTGCGTTTTGTTTCTGAGTGAGACTTTGTATATATGGCTACCAATATTTCATACAATAATCATATTTTATACATAGAGCATATCAGTGCTCGAAAACTGGTTGGCTAATAACTTGCTCAACTTGAATTATAATTGCCGTTTAATTTCATTCTTTTTTAGTGCTTTAACAAATCTTTTCTTATCCTTTCTTGTATTGATTAATATGATCTCAATCTTATCATTTTGTGTAATTGCCACTTTATGTTTGTGATATGGATATCATATTTTATAGCATATCCATGTGATACGGTGTGTTTATGTGCTAAAATATTGTTTTCAAGATTCTGTACTTTTTTTTCTTCTTTTGTTGATGAAAATCTTTATCTATTTTATATTACGTATAAACAATTTGGTTATATTTTATTATGATTGTTATTTTAAAATATTAGAAGATCATATGATTAATGAGTGGTTAGTTTTTTTCCTTCTTTAGTTTGAGTAGTTTACTTGAGAAATAATGATATCGCATACATTGTTCCAAGATATTTTCTAGTATATAATATCATGTCATAAAAGGTCCACCAATTGGTACACACTTGTTGTTTATAGAGAAAGAAAAAGATAAGATAAGAAAAGAAAACGTGGTCTTTCATTTGTACGGAAGAGAAAAGGGCAAACTAGAGAGATAAATTGGTGGGGATTACATGTTTTTCTAGCAAAATTGAGAAAGTAATGCATTTCTAATCACACCCTTAGTAAATATATACAACGTGCTTTTTATTCTCTTCAGTTTTTTTCTATAGGATATTGTTTATAAATATTAATATGTGGATTATTTTTTAAAAGTTGCTGATTTATAAGTGTCGATAAATAATTTATACTAATACATTATAAAATATTTAAAAAATACTTTTATTTAGTGTTCATACTGCGTCAAATCTCCAAGAGATAGTCACACAAATAAAAATCACATCTGATTTCGACTGTAGTTAATGATCCAGTGAAAAACAATGATTCACATAATCACAAGGGTCTAGAATGTGTGTGTGATGATCCAATGAAAAATAATAATTCACATAATCACAAGGGTCGTATGTGTGTGTGCGTGTGTCTGTGTGTGTGCCCTTAAATGACATTAGAATAATGACATCAGAAACAAGAAATAACATTTCAAACACCTTATCAAAAATACTCAAGGAATGGCGAATCTATGAAGAAGACTAATTTGTAACCTCAACCGTGCATGATCCATAGCAAGTACAGTGGTGAGGACAAACCTGCTGCAAGAGAAGTGTCTCATCACTTCATCTTTCGGTCCAGAGGGTCAAACTCAGCGACCCCTGGATTAGGAGCACCCATACCTCCTCCACAAGAGGGAGAGTTCCATGCACCCAAGGTTATCCCAACGTATCCATCCATAGAAGGTAACGACATGGTAAGTAACCAACCTTAGGGAGTTCAGGTGGCATACAAAAAGACAAGAGTACTCCTAAGGAATTCAACAATGCCATAAACAAACAGTCGGCATTTTTAGAGTTTCAAAACGAGGAACTTCGAGGGGGAGAAATCCTAACTCGTCATCAAAATATGAGTCCTAAAGATGAAATTACTAATTTTAGTAACTAATCCCCCTGACACAAAGGAACACATAGATGTAGATTCTGGTCCCCCCGATCTCAAAGAGAATCTCATGAATGCTTCAAAGTGGAAGATCGACAACCAATGATTTATGGTCGGCAAAGACCAAAGGCCATACAATCTTCCTCTTCAGGGGAGTTTAAGGAGGAAGAAGAGAAAGTGACATTCTAGAACGCCTTAACCAGATGAATAAACAAATATCCAATCTGGATGAAACTCTAGAAGTTACATGGAATAGGCACATATGACGAGACGACTGGCCCTGACGAACACATATAGCTGATTAGCGCACTCCATAATTTTTTAGGCACAAGAGGTTTGATAAAGTGTAAGTTAATCGTTCTCACGCTAAAGGCCGTAATTATTACTTTGTTCAGGGGACTTATGAATGAATCCATCAATTCATAGAGCATGCTTCATATGATATTCCTGGCATACTTCATAAGTTTTAGGAGATAACACAAATCGATGAAATTTTTTGAATACATCATACAATAGAAAGACGAAATATTTAGATCTTACATAGAGAGATTCAACAAAGAATCCATATTCGTTAAAGGTGTTAATGATTAAATTATGAAGTATCTGCTCAGTTTCTTAGTTCAACATTAATGATGATATGTGATCTGTGGGATTTTGGATCGAACTCTAGTTGGTCGAAATACTTGCTGTAGTCGAAGAAGGTTCTAGCATGTATGTGTCGAAGGATGCTTGTCGAATTAGGTTTTAGTGTTTAAACCCTAATTTGTTAAGTTAACTTGTTTGTTAAGTTAACTTGTATAATGGGCCTTGTGGAAAAAGCCCATTAGTTAGTATGTTAGGTTTTATTATAAATAGCATACTAGTCTCTCATCATTGCCAGCACAGCAAATCCTAATTCAGGGTGAGAGGGTTATTTGTTATTCTTGTAAACTTGTAATCTTGTTTCCTAAGAGAAAGTAAAGAATAGCAGTTATAACCAATTCTTGTGTTCTTCTTCTTCCTTGTTCTTTATTCTTCCCAAATACTATACTTTGTTATTGGCATTGAATTCACAACAAATTGGTGCGGTGAGCGTGGAGAAGATGCCTTCAACAAAGTATGAGATCGAAAAGTTCACCGGAGTGAATGATTTCGGTCTATGGCGCTTGAAGATGAAAGCTCTACTGGTTCAGCAGGGTTGTTTGGAAGCGTTGAAGGGAGCGACGGCGATGGACGCTGCGTTAACAGAAAGGGAGAAGACGGCCATGATCGAGAAAGCACACAGCGCAATTTTGTTGAGCCTTGGTGATAAGGTTCTTCGACAGGTATCAAAGGAGACGACGGCATCAGGGTTATGGGTGAAACTTGAAAGTTTGTATATGACCAAATCTCTGGTAAATCGACTCTACCTGAAGCAAGCTTTGTATTCATTCAAGATGATTGAAGACAAAGTGTTGGCTGAGCAGTTGGATATGTTCAACAAGCTGATTCTTGATCTTGAAAATATTGATGTAAAGATTGATGATGAAGATCAAGCGCTGTTATTATTGTGCGCTTTGCCCAGATCACATGCTCACTTCAAAGAAACCCTCTTGTATGGAAGAGAGTCCCTGACCTTTGAAGAAGTTCAATCAGCTTTGTACTCTAAGGACTTGAACGAACGTAAGGAGCATAAACCTTCGACGGTTGGTGAAGGTTTGGCTGTTAAAGGAAAATTCGACAAGAGGAAAGGTAAAAATCAGTCGAAGTCTTATAGTGGTGATGCATCTGGTATTAGATGCTATCACTGTAAGAAAGTAGGTCACACAAGAAAGGTGTGCCCTGAACGCCTGAAAGATCATGGAGGTAAGGATAATGGCAATGCAGCTATTGTCCAAGATGATTTCGAATCATCTGATGTTCTTGTGGTTTCAAGCAACAACTCGTCGAAGGAGTGGATTATGGATTCTGGATGCACTTGGCACATGACTCCAAAGAAAGACTTGTTCGAGGACTTATGTGATCAAGATGGTGGATCTGTATTGCTGGGAAACAACAAAGCTTGCAAGATTGCAGGCGTTGGATCTGTGAGATTCAAGCTCCATGATGAGTCAATAAGATTGTTGACTGAAGTCAGGTATGTACCTGATTTGAAGAGAAATTTGATTTCTCTTGGTGAATTCGACAAGAAAGGATATGTGTTTCAAGGAGAGAAAAGTATCCTGAGAGTCATGAAAGGGTCGAAGGAAGTCTTGAGAGGCGTGAAGAAACAAGGCTTGTATACCCTTGAGGCTGAAGTTGTAAGTGGTTCGACAAATGTTGCATCCACGAAACCTTTGTCGAAGACAGAAATTTGGCACATGAGATTGGGCCATGTCAGTGAAAGGGGTCTGGTTGAATTAGGGAAACAAAATCTGCTTGGTGGAGATAAAGTCGAAAAGCTGAAGTTTTGTGAACCCTGTGTACTTGGAAAATCCTGTAGAATGAAGTTCAACAAAGGCAAACAAAGAACACATGGATCCCTTGATTACATCCATGCTGATCTTTGGGGGCCTGCAAGGTGTCCATCACATTCAGGAGCAAAGTATTTTCTATCCATAGTAGATGACTATTCCAGAAAGTTATGGGTATTCATCCAGAAGACTAAGGATGAAACTTTTGAGAATTTCAAAAGTTGGAAGACTCTTGTCGAAAATCAAACTGGCAGAAAGGTAAAGAGGTTGAGAACCGACAATGGCCTTGAGTTTTGCAATGAGGCGTTCGACAGTTTTTGTGTTGCCTCTGGTATTGCAAGGCACAGAACTACCGCAGGTACTCCACAACAAAATGGTTTGGCTGAAAGGTTTAATCGAACTATTTTGGAGAGAGTTAGATGCATGTTGACTAGTGCGGGATTAAAGAAGGTGTTTTGGGCTGAGGCTGTTTCGACAGCAGCATATCTGATAAACAGATGTCCTTCGACAGCGTTAGATATGAAGACACCTGAAGAAGTTTGGTCGGGACATCCACCAGATCTCGACAAACTAAGAGTATTTGGTTGTGTAGCCTATGCTCACATTAGGCAAGACAAGGTCGAACCTAGAGCTCTGAAATGCATGTTTATGGGATACCCTGAAGGAGTGAAAGCTTATAGGCTATGGTGCCTAGAGCCAGGTCACAGGAGGTGTATCACCAGTCGAGATGTGGTTTTCAATGAAACTGAAATGGCTTTCAAGAAAACTGATGATGTTGACGAAGAGCTGGAACAGGTAGAGATTCCTGTTGAGGTGGAGCATGTTGATGCTGAAATGCGTATCCCAGATGAAGTCGAAGAAGAAACAGAAGATTCTGATGATGTTGAGGAAACTGTTGATGACTACCTATTGTCGAGAGATAGGCAAAGAAGAGTCATAAAACCACC